AATATTTAGTATTTACTGTTATATACACATAGATTAGCGTGATGATGTTGTTTATTATATTGCTCTCTTTTTTGCTTGTTTTCTCTTTTCTTTCTCAACAGATGATCCAAGTGATTGATATATATGTATTTTTTGCCGCCCCCCCCACACTTTTTTTTGTGCGCTTTATCACTGTTCCTCCTCCCCGCTGTTTTTCTTTCCCTCCCTATCTTTTTTCTCCCTTTCCTTTCCCCCACTCATGTCTGTCCCGTATGTAACAAATGAAAATAAAATAAACAAACAATAAAGACAAAGGTCAATCAAATGGACCAATACGGCAAAGCCGGGATGGTTCACTTGGTATAGTAAATCCATTGGGCATCTATCATGGCCTTCAGACAATAATTCTGATGGCAAAAGAACCAAACGGGACAGGCGGCAAAAAAGAAAAAAAGAAAAAAGAAGAAGAAAAGAAGCAGCAGCAGCAGCAATGCGACAACAACAAAAACAACATCTCCAAAAAGTTGATTCTGTTCATCTGGACGTAGCGTTTTCTGGGAGAAACGTTTCGTCACTCATCCAGATGATTTCTTCAGTCTCAGCTGACTGCAGGTTTCAATCTTATAAACAGTACATTTGCATAATGACTGATAAACCAGCCCACTGAAGGAACAATGGGCTGTGAGGTCAGCAAAACAAAAACAACACTTCTCTCTCTTTAAGTCCCAACTCAAAACTCACTTGTTCAAAATAGGTTCTTCCACATAACCTACCACTCTCCTATTTTAAATTTATGTTGTCTTATGCTTTTATGATTGTGTAAACTGCTTGCTTTGATTGCTGCTTTTATTATTTTGCTGTTGTCAATATAAAATTGTACTTAGTAGTCAGTATAAGCTTTTAGTGATATAAGTTTGCATATGATAGAATACTGCATGATGACCTTTTTATGACTTAGACTGTTGTCCACTACAAGACTTGTTTTATAAATTCTTTCTCACAGCGATAATAGCTGAACAAGCTGTTATTATTTCACTCCTGCCAGGAAGAGGAGAGCTGGACACTTTTATCTGCACTCCCTAACAAGAAGAGGGGCCACGTCCTTCTGAATCACACACACACACATACACCTGAACCACTCTTATCTTCACTCCCTACACACTAACATTCCTCTGTTTATGAATAGACGTATTCACTGTTGTATTACTTGTTTGTTTGTTTGTTTGTTAATTAGTTTGTTTGTTTGTTTGCTTGTTTTAATCAATTTTAAATCATGCTTTTTATTTG